TCGATACAGTAGCCCTGCATGCCGTATAATAATAGGGCCTGTAGGCTGCTCAAACACGCTTCTAATCTTCCCAGGCATCTATCCTAGAGGCCCCAGGAGCCCGACATTTCTCTCCGAATACGGCATTTCCCCATAATACCAGACTTGGAAGATAGCTCCCAACTTCCTCCGTAATGAGATGGTCAATTTTGCGGCCCACCCCTTGATCGAAAAATATATAGGAGGAATCTCTCCAGACTAGTGCGTGAGGCCAATACTTGATCGGGACCATCCCAGAGGCCCACGATGGCCGACGCAGGGTGCTGCAGGAGGTCGATATGGACAAAGGCGGAGGATAAGGGGCTTCCAGCAGGAAGTGTCTGCAGAGTGCCGCCTACGTAGAGAATGCTTTCGGACATCTGGGTTGTCTTAACTCTATATGCACAAGATTGTATGTGCTGGAGAGGCGGAAGGGTAACTCGGAGGTGTACATGTCGAAATCTGGAATAATTTAAGCCACACAAATTGATTACCTTCGCTGCTGATTGTGAACTGGTTAAGCGAGGCTCCCACATGTTCAATCAAGGCTTGAGCATGATCCGACTCCCTGCGAAGGTTTACCAACAAATACCACAACTAGTGGAGGTCAAGGGGATCCATAACCTGACTGCAAACGTCGGTGCTGGAGATAACGAGAGATTGTATCTTGGTATCTAGGCACCTGGGAGGGATCCTATAATCCTCTTGGAACATTTTAACCCTTCGTATATCAAAGCCCTTAACGCTCGCACGGCCTTCAGGAGGCGTCTCGGAAATGCACCCAACCCCGCGCTGAAGGTGACCGGCTCGGGCTTGGGTGGGCGCGGGTTATTGTCCATGAGAACGATAATGATGCTGATCTTGAAAGACGTGGAGACGTTAATGTGCAACTGACGAAGATTACAGCACCGAAACAGGAACATGAGGATGAAGCCGTTCCACGTTATGACAAATAAGAGGGCCTGAGCGAACGACGCGATGGTGTTGTTGTAAATGAGGATGTTATCAAGTGCCTTGAGTTTGATTGAGTCAGAGAGGTGGATCGCAAACAACTTTTGCTGGCAGTGAGAGAGCAAGAAGCCTCTTTCCAGATCGAAGAGTTGGGAGACCACTTCTTATGAGTTCTAGAGGATTCGAAGGGCATTCGGCATTCTGTACTGGGCTTTTTAGGCGGCGAGTGAGAGCCGCGCGAACACAAAAATCGTGTTTCACATGTAAGGCAAATGTTCAAGTTGTTAGCGAGAGATGTACGCGTCAGTAGCCAAGATAAGATAAGATCCAGCGAAAAATCTCCGAAACCCGACCAACAGAGGTCCAGCTCTAACATCCAACGACGCTATTAAATGGCTAACTCTACCCAGACATTTTACTGTCCTCTATATTCAAGTTTGTCCCGTTCCACCTTTCACACCTTCCAACACCAAAAAGGTCTAGCGAACAACAATGCATGGTATAACCACCACGTGTTATCACCATAAATTGGATACATACTGATCACTTATGACTTAGAATCCGTCGAAACCATTTCGCTTTTCAGCACGACACTCGAAGCTACGTCTTATAGCAGTCAAGACACAAGATCTATAGTGTACGCACAGATCAAACGTGAAATTGACCTGATGACGAACGCAATCTTGAGACTGAAGGCGAGACACAACTCGCTCAGCCTGATTGCGCGTCTCCCACCCGAGGTCTTGTCGAGCATCTTTGGTTGGCTGCCAACCATGTCCGGATATAGTTCATGTGGCACCCCGTGGATTAGAGTGTCATTTGTATGTTCAGACTGGCGCAGGATTGCTCTTGCCTGTCCTGGACTCTGGAGTTTCATTGACCCTGGAAAGGGCGATGAATATCTGACGACTGTGATCCCCCGATCGCGAGAACATCCCCTCTCCATCTCTCGGTGGGATCCTCGAGCGTCATCCAGGGCGATGGACCACATACAACCACAGATACACCGCATCCGAGAGCTTCGATTTTCTCATCATTGCAATTCGCCTTTCTGTCGCCTCAACGCAATAGTTTCTCAACTTACAGCGCCCGCTCCATCACTTGACCTCCTCAGTTTGCGGTCTTGCGTGAACACTATGGGGGTCGCTTATCTTCCCAATGAATTCTGTACGCCGCACATTGGCAAGATCTACTTGCTCAGTTGGATGATTCCCGCCACAGCTCCCAGTCTTGGAAGCCTGTCAGAACTCACCTTGGAGGAACTAGATCGACATGATGGCCCTAATTTCCACCAGGTGTTTGATGTCCTCCAAAAGGCACCGTGTCTGGAACACCTGATCCTACGGAATGCATTCCGAGATGATTCTGTTCGCACTCCAGACGACATTCTGCACCTACCGAGCCTACAGTCACTTGAAATCCAGTGCAAATCGTTCGGATCCGTCCTTATCACATATTCAAATATTCATCATCCGAGCACCACACGCGTTCGATTGGGTACGCAATTCAATAACCTCAACGGCCACCCTGGAACGCTTGACAGCCTCAAGGGGCTGGGAACATTCATCTCCTCACGGGCCGATTTTCGTCATGCATCGATAGCAGCCCTCGCCACAACCATCGTCCCCCGAGCCTACTACTTTCATCACGGAACAATTACAATGCCCGCACATGATGTGAGTCCCACCGATGGGCTGAGTCTGGCATTTGGGGAGTCCGAGGTTGCGGATCGACATGCACCACACTCCAGTGGCCTCAAAACGTGGGCCCTTCAACAGTGAACATCAAATCGTTTTGTGAAGGACTGCAGCTCTACCAATTGAAGTCGCTCTCAGTAGAGTCGCTCGAGCTCCCACTGAAGATATGGTGCTCCGTATTCGGTGTCTTGCAGTTCTTGACAACCCTGTGCATCCATCACTCCAATCGGAATCTTTTATGCGCGCTCGCGGAGAGTTTAGACAATGATGGGACCATTGTACCGTATAGCAAGGGCAGGATGGGCTTCCACGCCCTGCATACTTTGGTTCTGCAGCAGTGGATTCTCGATGAGGACATGGTTGGCCTCATCGAGTCCTGCCTTGATATCCGTTCCACCAAATGCCCTAAGCTAAAGACGCTGCGCCTGGTCAGGGTGATGTGGTCGAAAATCAATCCCGCACTCGCTGTGGAACAGCTGGAGATGTGCGCCAAACAAGTCGAGATCGATGGCATCGACTTTCAAGACACCGATATGGAGGATTCGGACGATGACTCGGGTAGCCACAGTTCAGGTATGGAAACAGATACAGAGTAGATACAGGAGATTATACGAGCGTAACAGTGAGAAGGCGCTTCATTAGTAGAAGAGATGATGTACGAAGGAAAGAACGTCCTCAGCCCCAGACAACTCCCATACTGAGCTTCCAAATGACACATCCATCTGAGGTTTCATGAGAAAAAGTTCAATGAAGAATTCGAACATGAGTGATAGGGAGGACGTCTGTCCTGCGGCCGTCCTCAGACAGACTTCTCATCCTTGAAATTTGAGAGTACAGGCTTCAATAGAATGGATCCTAACACACAGAAATCGACCTCCAACGTCATCCAGACTTCAACCGTTTTGGGGAAAAAGATAATATCCTAACCTCTATAATTATGCAGTCATACTCTGCGTTTTCATCATGACCGAGAGTCGGATCAAAGATTGAAGTTGAAGATACTGCTTACAAACCAAACCCGACGCGTAGAGCTTCATACCTTTTCTCTCTGCATGGGAGTTACAGAACCAGGTATCGCGCAGGGCTGTAACGGTAGGTGCGCTGCACAAAACGACAGTGAGATGAAGCGGACTGACCGAATTGATGTGGAAGACGTCGTGAGAGCAGCATACCCGACATCGTAATTAAGCGACTCAGTCCTGTTAGCGTTGTAAGTGATGGCGTCCAAGGTCAGAGAGAGAAAAATACTTACGGCGTTCCGTATACTAATCGCCTCGCTCCCTTCGCTAACACAACAACAATGACCTCAGGGTGAGCACCGGCCTTGGACATCCCAATCGACAATCCTGTATCGAGGTTCGGGTTATAAGATGGACTTGCTCTCGAGGAAGAAAAGCAAACGCACGCATTGCAGGCTATGATTGTGCAGATTGGGTCGATATCCAACGAGGCATTGGGTAAAGCAGATATGGCGACTTTTAAGAATCTACTAGACAGTTAGACACATCAAGGGTCAGTAGGAGGAGATGTTCGCATCTTGAAGATATCGATTGCGTTGTACCATCGACATCCACCGCCCTCCCATCTTCTTGTGGCGAATCGTTGCAATGACAACACTTCCATGTGACACGGATACCAATATACGTGATGAAAAAGTGGAAAGCATCCGCGATTAAGCCCCGTCCCCCGAGCCGCGAGGATAACAAGTGATATCTAGCCCATAAAGCTGGCGCCGCCGAATTAAGTGCCCATGGTGCCACAGGACAATACATAGAAAGAGCCTATGCGAGCGGTCTGTGTGGCAAGCTAATTATAGTCGTTGAATGTGAGGTTTGCCAGAGGGGATTGGAGTCGACGGGCAGCTGGCCAATATCCGAGGATGTGGTCAAGAACAGAAAAGTTTCGAGATGACGTCACTTATTTCAAATGCAGATCACACTGGTTCCAGATTCCTACTGCGATCCGAGCCGGATAGTCAGAATCGGAGGCGCGCACTTCCATGGTACTTGAACAGATAACACTATGGCGTCCACTGTCTCAATCCATTCCTGCTCCAAGGCGTATGACCAGTGTAGTTGTCCTTTCGATCTTCTACAGCCTTCTCACTAAGTGAGCGACTGGCGGCTCAAGAACTCCGAGAATGAGCATGCGGGTACTCAACTCCAATGACTCATATACAATCGCAGCTGTGTTGGTCTTCGCCCCACCCCTTGGCTCGCTAGCTTCACTTGCTCTCAGCATTACAAATACTCAACGGTTTTAGAGCGTCTCCGGTAAAACTACTAAATAAAATTGAAAACCCTAGTTAACTGCTGGCTTGTGATTCACGTCCGCGCATTAATGGGGTAGAGGTAACCTGGGTCGTTGCCAAAAGATGTAGTTCCATTTCGTAGTCTCGACCCGCCGGGGGTTCGATTCCCTCTTAATGCATACCCTTGTAAAACTGAAGTCTTTTTGCATGTTGCGCCGAGTACTCACCTTTCTATCGCACCAAACTCGTCCCTTTTCCGGAAATCTTGAACTATTGAGCAACCTCACGAGCATTGCAACCCTCCTTGACGTCCGGGATTTATCGGCATATCCACAACAATCCGTTAAAAGTACGAAGAAATATGGCGCCAGTGGGGCTGGCTGGTAAGTAATGGCTGTAAAGATAATCTCTCATCTTTCCATCGCCCCACCCGGGGCTTGATTCCCTGCGATTTCATTAACATAAAATGGAACACTGTTTCTCCTCGTGTCGTTTAGACGGCCGTATACAACTGACGCCACAACGCTGCTCTGTTTCTTTCATGGAGGTGGCCGGGTTTTATCTCGCATTCGAGAGACAGAATGAAGTACCAGCAGAACTTCCAGCCCTCTGAGGGATTGTTAGTCTCCTTGAATTTCCACGCATAGCCTGTGTATGTCTTCGTCAATTCTTGGACCTGTAGCTGCCAGGAGTGCGAGCCGCGCTTCCCACCACTTCCAATGTATGAATTCATCCACGTTACATACGATCTTACGTGAGTGTTAACAGCACTACTACGCAGTAAAAATGTAATTACAGCCAAAGAAGCCTAATCTGGAGGGTATGACAGGAAGGATAACATATTGAAATCTCGGTTGTAAGTACGTCGGGGATTGCCGAACAGCACGCTTTTACAAGCATCGTTGTACGTGTCTTCTACGCCATCCTCCCAGTGCGTCAGGTTATAGGACGTATTTCAATCCGCCTTTGATCCTTCCCGTGACATTGTTCTGCTGCCCAAACATCTCTCACAGAAGCCCACATGTATGGTATGAATGCCGCATTGGTACCTTCGAAAATTTGACACGTGTTAATTACTTGCATTACTAGAAACCATTTCGCTCCTTAGCACAGGGATACAAGCCACGTCCTACAGCAACGAGGATACCAAAGCTACGGTGTATGAGCAGATCCAACGTGATATTGAAGTGATGTTGAACGCGATACTGACCCTAAAGACCCGACACAACTCGCTCAGCCTTATTGCGCGTCTTCCCCCTGAAGTTCTGTCATGGACGTTTGGTTGGCTGAAAACTCTGTCTCAGAATGTCTCATATGGAAACCCATGGATCAAAGTGTCATTTGTTTGCTCAGACTGGCGCAGGATTGCCCTCGACTCTCCCGGACTCTGGAGTGTCATTGATCCTGGAAAGGGCGAGGACTATCTGAGCACAGTGTTACCAAGATCCAGAGAATATCCTCTAACCGTCTCCTGCTGGGGTGCAGATCCTAGAACAGCGGGACACATACAATAACATATGCACCGAGTCCGAGACCTCCGATTTTCGCACGATTGTGACCCCCATACCTGTATCCTGCCCAAAATCATTTCCGAACTCACCGCACCCGCTCCGATTCTTGAATCCCTCACCTTGGGAACCTGCCTAGAAAGTCCGGAGGTGAATTACCTTCCCAACCACGTGTTCTGTACGCCTCAGATCCGCATAATCTATTTAAGCGGCTGGATGGTTCCTGCAACAGTTCCCAGTCTAGGAAGCTTAACGGAACTCATCCTGGATAAGATAGACGGACCAGATGGCCCCGACTTCCTCCAGGTGATAAGTGTGCTCCAGAAGTCACCACGTCTGGAGCGCCTCATTCTACGCAATGCATTCCGATATGCTTCCAATAACCCACCACAGGACATCCTACATCTACCGCGCCTACGGTCCCTCGGGATCCAGTGCAATGCCTTCTGGCCCATGTCGGAATCATATTCATATCTCTCCCACCCCACTTCAATAGTCATCGAATTGAGTATTCAATTCAATCGCTCCAACGGTATCACAGGAGCGATCCCCAGCCTGGGGGAGCTGGCCACGTCCATGTCCTCACGCGCGGCGTTTCGTCGTGCACTCATAAATCCCCTCACTGATGGGCTGAACCTGGCTTTTGAGGAGCTCGACACGGACGGAATAACACGCGCTGTACTTCATTTCCCCGCTAAAGCAAGCCCGTTACCCGTGTACATTAACGCATTCTGCCAGGGACTACGACTTCCCCATCTGCAATGTATCACAATAGCTGGGCTTGATCTCCCACAGAACATATGGTGCTCTGTATTCGGCGCCTTGACATTCCTAGTCACGCTTTCCATCTGCGGCTGTAATCGGAATCTTTTATGCGCGCTTGCAGAGTGTTTAGACGGGGTCGGAGCCATGGTGCCGTCAGGCCAGGGTGAGCTGGGCTTTCGCCATCTGCAGACCTTGGAGCTGCACGAGTGGACGTTTGACGAGGAAAATGTTGCCATCATTAAATCGCGCCTTGATATCCGTGCCGTCCAAGGCTCTAAAGTGCAGATTCTGCGCCTCGTTGGAGCGTCATGGTTGGGGACTGACTCTACTGCGGTGCTGGAACAGATACGGGTATGCGCTCAATGGGTTGAGATTGATGGCATTTATTATGGGGACCAGGATATGGAAGATTCGGATGACGATTCGGATAGTCACAGTATGAATATGGAAACGGACACGACACAAGACCAGATTTAGGAGGCGCCAAGCTGGTGCTTGTACCCCAATCGATGGATACAATTCATTTAGCAAAGTCTGAAGCCACACATCAGGATCATAAATAAAGGTATATGTATATATGATGTGATATATAAGAACACGGTCGAAAGTGGTAAGCAGTCCACCAATGTGCCTACTCATAGGACAGCGATGATGTATAGTGGGGATAATCAAGTGGAGCAGGCCCTTCTTGAAGACTTCAGATTCAACATTTGCTGCAGCCACACCGCCGCGTGAGCCTGGTCGGTTTTCGACACTAAAGAATGCCACGGGGCGAATGTAGGTAGTCAGTATATGGTCGAAACGCTTCCGTACCCCGTTGCTTTCCGTATCATTTTGATATGAAGACAAATTGATCTCAACACCTAGCCATTCGACCTGGATAGGAACTGTCTGAAGAGTATCGTAAATGGAGTGGAAAATGGTTTATGTTTATATCACTGGGCCTAGAAGATGACCCAATTTTGACAGGCTGGAAAGGGGATAGATATATGTGAACTGAGTATTGCGGGAAAAAAGAAACAAGAGCGACATCAAAAGCTCTCTCAGCTTGCATCCCTTCGTTATCCTCCAGGAATCTGCAGTTCTCTCTAGTCGTCTTTCACGGAGCCGTCCGGAGACACTATAGTCCCTGTATGTGGTTCCAGAGCCTCGTCATTGTTGCCAGCCTCGTATGTGATTATTGTCGTCCATAATCTGGGTTTCGGCAGTCGATGTCGTCAATCTCGATGTGTTAAACGTACGGCTCCGACCACTCCAGAGTGCACAACTGTAAGTTGCATCCACGAAGCGTCGTCAATACATAATTTCTGAAGTGTGGTAACGGCTCCTGTGGCGCGACTTGAGGAAGTCAACAGTCCTCTCAGTGAGATACCACCCATGAAGAATAAGAGGCTTCAGAGAGCGGAAGGAGCACTGGTTTCCACCAATGCCTCCATCATGCTGATATATCTCGTCGTATGTAACCGCACCTATGATGTTAAAATCAGGGTCGCGGACGCAAAGGGTAGTCAAGGATTCCAAGCGGCCGAAGACGAAACACCATTCCAACTGTGGAAGCACAAGGCCCTCTGTCGACAGATATCGCAAGGAGTGCAGCTGCATACCCTGAAGAAATACGTGGACATAAGTGTCGAAACTCAGCAAGCGTCAAGCTCAAGGGTTTTTGTGTGCCTTTATTGAGGCATAGAGAATGTGAAACTTAGAGGATACACATTGCCCAAACATCATGAAGCTGTTGCCTGTTGGAGGTGGGATACAGGTCTGGGGATGCATGGAAAGGCGGGTACGCGTTGATAGTGGGTGGGTAATATGGACATATACAGCAGCGATGGACTACATAGCACAAGATATCAGTGATCGCAAATGAGGAAGGCGCAAGGACTTTGGCGGACCTTCATGAAAAGTGATACCAGGTCGAAATGCGCCGTCCAGAACTACGTCCTCAAGATTTTAGGCTTCATGAAGCAAGCCAAATTCGCCTTGCTCAGGTATTTCGGTGTGAGTTCAGTCACGTTCTTTAAGCAACAAATGTATTGGGAATCATCCAGCTTGTCAAGGAGATTTTACGAAGCAATGTGGCGCCAAGGAATATATGATTGGGGAGGTACTCGACGTTCTCCCGCTGTCTTGAGCGGCGTCTCAAATCAATTAATTCGAGTAAATGGGTAGGCCTTGTGAGCTGTAATACAGTTTTGCATAGGTGACAAGGAAAAGGGTATAAGTCGCAATCATGATCAAGTCGTAGTTCATGAACTTGGTACATTTGTTGCGATATGATGTCCATTGTGCTGGGTTGTATTAAGTGACCCCATCTAGACTAATCAATGTTCGGCAGGTCGTTCAAATAGACGCATCTGTTTGAGAGGCCTCTAAACATAGCGACAGTCCTCTTTGTCAAGGTCAATATTGACACCAACAAACCTCTGCAGCACACGTCACCCCTTTGAGTACAGCTCAGGCAAATGTGCAGGTCGTTGGATATCATTCAAAGATCGCGACCATTTGTATCAGGTGTTTGAGGAAGAAAATATAAATGCTGCGAATCACTACCAAATATTGTATCTCCCGCCAGACCTCAAATCGCCGTATGCCTCACGCAAAATATGCAGCATTCCAAAGGCCTATGAACAGGACCAGGAATGAGGTAAATACCGCAAGACCGATTACAATCAGCACACCTAGTCGCACAGAACAAATTGATGACGACTTACGACTTTGAAAAGACGTCAACAACACCAATAATAGTATCCTCACCAGATTAGTCAATGTCAGAATGATATCCCTCGCCGCGATATGCCTGGTCCCAAGAGTACACCTTGCGATAGATGACTCTAACACCCTAGAAGTTCCGGTCAGAATCGCTGTCTGTCTCATCGTCACTATAGACATCGAACAGCTGCTCCGTT